CTCTCAGCATTCAGCCAGTCTTTGTTACGCAGTAACAGTATTGCATCATCAGTAACGGTCGTTTGCAAAAAAAAAAAAAAAAAAAAAACGCCCGCCATAACGGTAGTTTTTCCCGCATTCTTTGAGTGAAGATAGAGACACCTCTAGAAGTACCATCTCCCGGACAGAAGTCGAGACGTTAATCTGTGAAGAAGATTTTGTGATACAAGTTTCGTCAAGTACAATGGAGAGGCAGGAGGTTGAAGATCTTTCGCTTGATCAGCTCAAGGAAAGAATTACTAGCTTGGGACTAATCCCAAGGAGTTCCAGATCGGAATGCATTGATCAGATATTCTCATATATGGAAAGACGTATCAATGATCCTCCAGTTTTACAACGTGAAGACATTCAACCACAAGGTTTGCCTAGCCAAAGTGCGCAATCTCTGACTGTTCAGCATTTGTCTGCGTCAATGGCTACGATGCAGCAGTCAATGTTAATGATGATGGAGCAGATGAAGCGTTTGATGTCTACTGCAAATATCAATGAAGTAACGAGTGGACAGGACGTTGGTGGGACAGATTTACCTGGTGTATCATCCCAAAACATACCGCCCGTTCCAATCAGTGTACGGACAACACAGCCAACCTCGGTGATGTATCTCCCAGCAACTGCTTCAGCGGTTAAGCTTTTAACTCCACAGATTCCGGCATACGGTGGATCAGAGGAAGAAGATGTTGATTTATGGATCCGTAAGGTGGACCATGTGGCTCTTGCTCACGGAGTGAGTGAGACGGTGACTTTACTAGCAGCATCTAGTAAATTAAATAGTTTGGCCAGGGACTGGTATGACATGAATATAGAGTCAATTAATAACTCTTGGCCAGTGTTTAAGCAGTCTATCTCGGAAAGGTTTGGGCTACAAATCCCGTTCCACATAGCCATGCAGAGAGTGGATGCCCGTAAGTGGAATTACCATAAAGAATCGTTTCGTGATTACGCCATGCAGAAAATGAAATTGCTGCATCGCCTGCAGTTACCTGAGAAGAGTTGTATCCAGTTAATTATAAACGGCATTGGCAGCTCAGCGTTGAGGGCATCAGCAGCATGTCTGAGAGCAAATTCTATAAATGAATTTCTGAATCAGATGTACGAGGTCACAAGTGCTTTTGAGATGACATCGAAAAAATCTCCACAGCCAATGAGGAAGGAGAAACCGAAAGCGTCGCCTCGTTCACCTACGAAGAACGATCATCAGTTGAAAAGTTCCAGAGAGACCTTCTGTGCTTATTGTAAGACGAAAGGGCACTTGAAGGCCGATTGTTACAAACTGAAGAGAAAGGAGCAATCCTCCCAGCAGTCAACCACGTTCGTGCCGCCACCGGTTGCAGTAGTCGTTAAGAAAGAGGACGACCCATCACTGGTGGGATGTGTAGAGGATCCTCGAAACCGAGTGTTGGAAATGAGTGAGCCAATCACAAATGTCTACACCATCAATGGGAATATATGTAATATGAGTACGCTGATTGATACAGGTAGCCCTGTTTCATTCATTCGTTTTGCGGCATACAGGTTATATGCCAGATCAGATTCAAAATTAGAAAAGTCGGGATATAATTCTCTTAGAGCTTTGAACGGTACTTATATTCCTGTGGTTGGTGTGTGGCACACAACTATTAAATTGTCGCTTTTACCGAAGGTCGAGTTAAAAGTTGATTTTCAATTATTGGAAGATAGTTCGAATACTACGCATATTGTGTTAGGACGTGATTTTATTAAAGAAAATGAATTGAAAATATCTTACGATCCTAATGCTGCTTGTAGCTCAAATAAATTAGAGCTCTTAAATAAGGTAGCTTCCGCAGATGTAGTCGACCTTATCGATATGCCGGTTACTGATAAACCTGTTTGGTCAAATATTAAAACCGACTTTGGGAAAGAAGCGGACAATGAGGTAGTTGAACTGATAAAAAATGTAATTGATACGCCGGTAGCACTAGTTAAAGACGATTATAGCGTTAAGGTCGTTTTAAAAGACGACTCAATATATGCATACGCACCGCGTCGCTTTGCGCATGCCGAACGAATACAAATTCGAGAAATTACCGATGAGTTAGAGAGAAAAGGCATTATTAAGACGAGTTCGTCGCCGTACTGTGCTCGGGTGGTCCCCGTTAAAAAGAAAAACGGTTCAACGCGTCTTTGCGTAGATTTAAGACCCCTTAATGACCGGGTCATTAAGCAGAAATACCCCTTCCCGCTTATAGAAGACTGTCTAGCGAAACTAGGTAATAAGCAAGTGTTTACACTCTTAGATTTAAAGGAGGGCTTCCATTTAATTAAAATTCACCCGGATCACACTAAATTCTTTTCTTTTGCCACGCCGGACGGGCAGTTCGAATTTAAGAGACTTCCATTTGGATTTTGTGAGGCTCCGGCCGAATTTCAACGAAGGGTTAACTATATCTTACAACCCCTCATAAGAGAAGATAAAGTTTTGGTGTACATGGATGATATCCTCATCCCATCAATCACAGTAGAGGAGAATTTATCTGTGTTAAAACAAACATTATTATTGCTTAAAAAATATGATTTCACACTTAATTATGAAAAATGTCGGTTCTTAAAGAACGTCATCGAATATCTCGGTTATATTATCTCCCCTACGGGTATTACGTTAAGTGACAGGCACGTAGAAGCCATCAAATGTTTTCCAGTTCCGAAGAAAGTGCTAGAGTTGCAAAGATTTTTGGGTCTGACAAATTATTTTCGGAAATTTATCCCAGGATATGCCAGTAAGGCCAAGCCATTGCACAATCTCTTGAAGAAAACTTCTGACTTTGTTTTTGACGAAGAATGTAAGAAATCTTTCGACTTATTGAAATCGGAATTAGTGTCTTATCCAGTCCTGCGTTTATACAACCCGTCAAGCGAAACTGAATTGCATACGGATGCAAGTTCAATAGCACTTGCCGCTATATTACTTCAAAAACAATCTTCCGGTTCATGGGCTCCGGTCGCCTATTATAGCCAAGTAACGAATGGGGCCGAGAGTAAATACCATTCATTTGAACTGGAAATGTTAGCGGTTGTTAAGGCTATCGAACGGTTCCATATTTATCTATACGGTTTGTCTTTTACGGTTGTTACCGACTGCAATGCGCTGGTATACGCTGTTAATAAAGCCCATTTGAATACTCGTATCGCGCGCTGGACCTTGAGACTACAGAATTATCGATTCAAGTTGGTGCATAGAGATGGCAAAAGGATGGCACACGTTGACGCACTTAGTAGAATTGTGTCGTCAATAGAAAGCATGCCTCTAGAAAAAGAGCTGCAATATAGGCAACTCGCAGACCCACAAATCCGGGCAATTGCTACCAGTCTAGAAGAGTCCGAACATGACAAATATACGCTAGTCGACGGTTGTGTCTACCGAAAGTGCAATGATAAGCCAAGGTTTGTTATACCCGATAGTATGATTAGTAGTTTACTGCGAGTGTACCATGACGACTACGCACATTGTGGTGCGGAGAAGACGTATCAAGGTCTTTATGCTAACTACTGGTTTCCCTCCATGCGTAAGAAAACCAGAAATCACATAGATAATTGTTTGGTTTGTTTGCTCGCAAATTCAACGTCCAATGTTAAAGAAGGAGAACTGCAAATTTCGCCCATTTCGGACAAACCCTTCCAGATTTTGCATACGGATCATTTCGGTCCGCTTACTGAATCGTCAGACGGTTTTAGACATGTTCTAGTACTTATCGACTCTTTTACACGGTTTACATGGCTTTTGCCAGTTAGGAGCACAGGTTCAAAGGAAGTCATTAAAAATTTTATTCCCGTATTCGATGTCTTCGGGAATCCGGAGGAAATTGTTTCTGACAGAGGTACCGCATTCACCTCAGGCGAATTTGCAGAATTCCTAGAGTCTCGTTGCATAAGACATAGGTTGATAGCTGTAGCGGCCCCTTGGGCTAACGGAATGGTGGAGAGGGTGAACCGATTCCTTAAGTCGTCTCTCAGAAAGATTGTTGATGATCAAATGACTTGGTCATCTAAGTTGTCTACAATTCAATACGTGATGAATAACTCTTATCATTCCTCAATTAAGTGTACTCCTGCCAAGTTGCTTCTGGGATACGACCAGAGGAATCAGGCTGACTCTAAACTGATAGAATTTTTAAATAACCTTTGTAAGGATAAGGACGCAAAGGAAAGTGATAGAGATATTAGTCGGAAAATGGCTATTGAAGTCACAAATAAGATTCAAAATTATAACAAGGTGTATTATGACAAAAGGCATCTAACGCCTTCTAGGTACAAACCTGGGGATTATGTGCTAATTAGGGATACCACTTTAAAACCTGGAGAAGATAGGAAATTAAAACCTCCGTATAAGGGCCCATACCTAGTAGCGAAAACGTTGTCTAAAAACAGATACGTAATTCAGGATATCCCAGGATACAACCATACGGCCAAACCGTACAATTCGATTCTATCTCCTGATAGAATCAAACCGTGGATTAAGCCCGTGATAACCTGATTATTTTTTAAGTCTCAATTTATATTTTTTAACTATAGTCTAGCTTTGAGTTTACTTTATGATTTAAAAAAAAAAAAAAAAAAAATGTGCCATTGTATAAGCCAAAGACTGACCAGAATTAATAATTTTGTAATTTTGTGTTTAGTTTATTTATGCATATGTATCACGGTTGAGCATCTCATATGTGCAATGTTTATTTTGTTTGCGAGAATTATTGAATGTCACTCGAGACGTTTGACACGCCAGAATGGCCGAGCTGTAAGAAACGGTGTCCATTCGTCCCGTATTTTATTAGTAGAAACCTACACCACAGGGGGCGCTAATGCCTGAACCGCCGCTTGCGCACCTTTTTCGCGTTATGCGATAGGTCGAGAGAATAGCTAAAGATCTGCGCATGACCACCAGATCACGTGGTGAGAGACGAGCTCTCGGATAGGTAGAGAGACGTAGAAAGAAGAGGAGGGTAGAGAACATGGCGAGAGGTGTGTGTCACATGTAGAAACCGCGAAGAGTTTAGAGTGTATCTTCCATGCGAGTAATAAAGTATTTACAATAGAGTTCTGAGTGCAATTCGACTAGGCGCTATCCCTATCGCCCATTTATCCAAGGTGTTCCCATTGATCAGCTTGGTTCGCCTTCCTGGCACTTGTGCGTAACGGACGTTACTGCTAAAGGAGATTCATAACCAATAATTTGGCTATCTTCTTTTATACTGTGAGGCCTTGCTTTTGGCACAGCCGGTCTCTTACAATTTAATGTTTTTTTTAGGTCATGAAATTGTCGAACTGTATAACTTATATATAACATAAATATTTTTTTTTCAAATTGCATAGATGCAAATTATGGTTAAGGAATTGTGGACGTACAATTGTGGACGTACAATTGTGGACGTACAATTGAAATTCCAATGGAGAACTTATATAAAACATATCGGGTTTGTGGAAATCATTTTGACTCCACTATGTTTCTAAATGATTTGAAGAATCGCCTCCAACCACATGCAATTCCAAAAGAAATACATCTAGAAAGAAATACAATAGAAAATGATCTGTCAATGACGCATGACTCTGTATTAATTTGTACTGATCACATATCTTTCTCATGTAATGGTAAGCAAAATATCGATAATTTTGATATCTATTATATTTGTATCAACTGTTCTTTGTTATATATATAGTATATGCAAATTATGTTAGTATTGGATGTTCAATGAATAGTCGTTAAATTGTAGATCAGGATGCAAGCATTACAGGTTATGACAATGAAAAGAATGGGAGCGGTGTACTTGGACATGGTGCATTTGGACACAGCCAATCACAGCACCGTGTGATTAGAGACATTTGTAGGGTCCCTTGGAACAGCGACTTGTGATTAGACTGTGTCCAATTGCCCCGTGTCCAACTGATATATATCCGAAAAGAATCAGGAAAGAAATGACTCCTTTATTTCTGACAATGACATAGTGTTTTCATGTAATGGTAAGGTAAATGTCTATAATTCTGAATCTTATTTGTATGAACTTCTCATTTTAGTATACTTTGTCAATAATAAAAGCTATTGTTATGAAACGTCTAATTACTAGTTATGAAATTGTAGATCAGGATGCAAATATGGATCAAAACAGACAAAAGGATCAGGAAGTACAATGTAGACAACCATTAGTTATAAAAGATAAAAAGATACAAACAAATCGCATAATATGTACCAATTCACCACGAAAAAAGAAACTGAAAAAGAAAATCTATGCGCTACAAAAACAATTACAGAAAATGAAGAAGCAATTAATGCAACAGAAAGGAAATTGTACAAAGGATATTAAGAAATTGTCTGTACTAGAATATTGTGATGTGACAGATCAAATATTACCACCATCTATTGCGTCTTTTGTAAAAGTACAAGTACATCTAACCCAACAATCGCCGAAAGGTAGAAGATATTCTTTGCAATAAAAAAAAATGTGTTTCAGCTTATATTTGAGTGGACGTAAGACCTATGAAGTTTTATCGAAACAGTTTTGCTTGCCTAATAAACGAACCTTGCATCGCATGATTCAAAATTTCAAAATTGCTCCTGGATTGCAAAAGAATGTATTTGGCATTTTACAAATGAAATCATCTAATTTTACAAATAGTATTGATAAGTATTGCATATTGTGCATGGACGAAGCTTCATTAAAAGCTCATTTATTTTATAATATCAGCCAAGATGCAGTATATGGATTTGAAGATTGGGGTGATGGGAAATCGGCATTGCCAGCATGTAATGTTGCAGTTTTAATGCTTAGAGGTATATGCACGAACTAGAAGCAACCTATAGGGTATTTTTTCTTCATTCTACGTTTCCTGCTACTAAATTAAAAGATATAATACAAAGTATAACGCAATTGCAAGAAATTGGATATACAGTTATTGCATTTGTAAGTGATATGGGACAAAATTTTATGACTACAGCACAAACATTAAAAGTTACAGTAGAATCACCATTTTTTGTTATTAATAATCAACAAATAGCTTATTTTATTGACCCTCCACATGCTGTGAAAGTTAGTCGAAATAATTTTATGAAAAATAATATTAAATATAAGAGGGAATTGATTTCATGGAAGTATATAAAAGAAATGTACGACATAGATAAAAATAATGATCACAGATTAGCACCAAAAATAACAGATACGCATATTATGCCTACTAATTTCGAAAAAATGAAAGTTCGCTATGCAACGCAGATTTTGAGTGCTACAGTAGCTGCTGCTTTACATAAATTAGTAATGTCTTCTCATATTTCAAGCGAAGCCTGTGCTACAAGTAATTTTATTCAGAAAATAAATGATTTGTTTGACATGTTCAATTCATCTACAATTTTCCATGCAATAAAATATAGACAAGCTTTTAATGGTGATGATTATCAAATCGATTTTTTGACACAAATGGTACAATATTTAAATGATTTAACAGTATTTATAGCACAAGGAGTCGATGTTACAAGGAAAGTGAAAGTTTTCAAATATTGGTGTCAAAATATCAATTCTCTTTTGAAAATGTGGGATTATTTGCGTATTAAGGCTCCTGGGGAGTCGCATCATCCATCTCTTTTTAATGACGTCAGAAGCGAGAAAACGCATGCTAAAAATTCCTGCAAAATACGTCGAGATAAACAGATATATTCACAAAACGACATTTGCGATCGATTAAGTACACCTCTAAAATACTCCGTACACTTTCCTTTTGTTCTAAAAATCAATAGATAATCGGAAAATTAATATGACAAGATAATGAGGAAATTAGGTTAGAAAAGACGATTGCACGTCACATTTATTTTATAATTATCTGTTGATTGTTAGAACAAAAGGAAAGTGTACGGAGTATTTTAGAGGTGTACTTAATCGATCGCAAATGTCATTTTGTGGATATATCTGTTTATCTCGACGTATTTTGCAGGAATTTTTAGCATGCGTTTTCTCGCTCCTGACGTCATTAAAAAGAGATGGATGATACGACTCCCCAGGAGCCTTAATGCTACTGACATAAAATTTTTGTTAATGCATCGTTTTAATCAAGATGCATTAGAGAACTTCTTTGGTAAAATTAGAATTATGAATGGTAATGCCTTTAATCCTACACCTATTCAATTTTATTATTCTTTTCAAAAACTGTTTTTTGTAAACTATTGTACGCCAAGAACAGGGAATTGTGAACAAGATAATGATGAAATGTTAACGGGTGTGATTAACTTTGCGGCAAAATACATAATGTACTGAGTACTGATGAAAATGAAGCAGACGAAAGTGACTAGTAGTACCTGTGCATGTAGATAATTATGATTATCGCGAAATGAATATTAACGAACAAGACGCGTTCCGGTATATATCTGGTTATCTTATTCGTAAGTCTTTACAAAAACATTTATGTGACCTATGTTTAAATTATAGTAAAGAGTATGTTAATTTGGATGATACATCGGTGCACTTGGACACGGTGCATTTGGACACAGCCAATCACAGCACCGTGTGATTAGAGACATTTGTAGGGTCCCTTGGAACAGCGACTTGTGATTGGACTGTGTCCAATTGCCCCGTGTCCAACTGATATACACCCGATACATCATACTATTGTTTCTTTAGAGCGTATAATGCTACAAATAATAATCTTTTCGGTAACTTATGCCAAATAACAATTTTGTTGAATATATTAAGATTTTGGACAACTTATTTTTTATAAACATTAAAGAATATATTTTGCAGCCGTGTATTGTTACAAAATATGTTCAACTTTTCCAACAAGTCAAATTTAAGCCATCTCTTATAGAAATATCATACTAAGAATCATTGGTAATTACTTATTTTCAGTATTAAAAATACTGCATAATAAATAATTATCAATGATTCTTAGTATAATATTTCTATAAGGGATGTTCACATTTTCCACAGGAGTATGCCATAAAACTGTTAGCTAGAGTACGATTTAAAATTTATTAACAGGCGATTTAAATCACAAAGCGGTCGTAATAAACTAGTAATTATGCGTCATGAATAAAAGTTATGTTTTATGTTTATTTCTTCATTATTAAAATATGTTATTTATGTTATACATTATATTATTTTTTATTCATATGTTGAAGTATAATATTAATAAATTTATTATTGCGTTACAGTAATTGTGTTGCACATTGTTTTTTTTTTGCAGTTGCCGATTATGAGAAAATGTTATCGTAGTAAGAAGAAAAGTGGTAACCACCCAGGCAGCAAGCCGTCGTAATTTTCACGTCAACATGTCGTCATTATTGGTGAGTAACGTCATTTGTCCTTTAAGGACGTGTATTTAACGTCATGTTTTAGACGTCAAAATAACTTTGCAAAATGACGTTATGATAACGTTTAATTTACGATATTGTAGACGAATTTCTTTTTCGAATAAAAATATAAGTTCGCTATTCTTATAGATATATTTTCATATAATAATCAATTTAAACAATAATGGGGGATATGATCAATGATAAATCTTATCATGCTATCCTAGCAGCAAATATTAGTTGTCCAATGATTATAATCATAGCTATAGCTGTTTCATTAAATCAATATGTAATGTTAATCTCTACGATTTTGATGTGACAAAAAATAAATTTTTTGTTTGCTGCAAAAAAGAGGTTTTCTTTTTTGGGTGTTTTCGGAGAAACATTTGTGGTATTGGTCTGAAACAATGATGTAAACGTCGCAGGCCATACTCTGAGGCTGCGTTCCGAAATTCACTGCCAGTACTGAAATTTTATAGTATACGTAACATAAACTATAGACTTTCAGTATTGGCAGTGAATTTCGGAACGCAGCCTGAGCAACGAATGAAGGGTAGCGCACCATTGAAAATCGACCGTATCCGTGAACGCTCGTAGCGCAGAAGTTGTATTTCCCGCTTTGATCTATCTAACGATGGATGCGGTCCGTTAAGCGTTGCTGATGCGCCACAGCGACGACTAAACCATATTACTACATTTCACGCTTCAAAGCATTTGCAATGTTGAAAGGACTCTAGCTCTAATATAACATCTCTGCGTCTCAGCGGCGTGCGAACACGTGCGAGCATTATACAGATATATAGTAACGATTATTAGTTTTACTGCTTCATTCGTGCACTGTGAAAGTTATATACTGCATAATTTACAGTTACTACTGCATAATTTACAGTTACTACTGATTATAAGAGCTTTAGTGAGTCATATTAGTTGCTTTCCATTTACATCAAAACTCAGATAAATCTCACTTCTATCTTTGTTACTCACAGAATATGAAACAAAGATAGAAGTGAGATTTATCTGAGTTTTGATGTAAATGGAAAGCAACTATTATATTCATAGATTTGTACCATCAGAATATAACCTATATGTTATACTGGGATCTTTCATTTTACATGTAATATAATTTATAACATTATTATATGATAGAATCATATTTTGTTATTAATATTAATTGCATTAGATATAAAATCGGATATGTATACATTGATCCAGCTTGATGACATGTGTGAAGGAAGCTTAGCTGTTATCAACACTAATTGGTTAACGCCTCGTAAAACACAAGTTTTTTGGCCACCATATAAAAATATAACAACTTTTAACAAAGCGTTGAAGAAGCATGAAGAAATCAATGAAGAGAAATGGACGTTGTATGGTATACAGAGAATTTTTTATGAAACAAGTATGCTTAGCTAATTGTTTATCTCTATTCCTATTACACACACACACACACA